TGATTACTGACTTTTCTGGCTAAATATTAAACTGAAGCCATTATATTCGGCTGCAAGTAATGAACAATTTAGGAGGCGTTTATGGAGGACAAGTTGGTTCTTCCAATTTAATTCTGCATTAAATTAATAATCACTCTGTTTTCCCCTTTTTTCTTCCCTGGCTTTCCAGATGAGAGAGAATAACTGTCTTCCCTGTGAGCCAGTAAAGGGCACCACAGCCTTGCAATTCATAAGGGGACCAGGAATGCAAATAACAACAAAACCTGGACTGAACAGTTTCTGGGGCAATTACTTACGTATCATTTAATTCAGAATGAAGTGAAGTGCAAACACGGGGAAGAGTTAAAACCACAGTGCACACCAACCCCCCCCCGAAACTCTTGTAGAAAAGCAATGGGATGTTTTCTTTCTCCCCAAAAAAGCTCCATTGCTCCTTCTCCCTCCACTGCCCCAGGGTCCTTTAAACACAGTGTTTTTGCGGCAAGTGAAAACCAGAAAGGAAAACCTTGATTTCATTGCCTGAAGTTCAAAGAAAGGCAAAAAAAGTGAAGATCCATCATACCTTATGCCCCTTAAGAGTTCTTGCTTTAGTAAACCAAGATTATTACTGAGTAGCACTAAAGAGCATAAAGCAATGGAAAACCACTGCACTGTGGTGTCAGCTGAAGACCTGGGGACCTGCATGCATGGGGAAGTCACCCTACAGCAAACACTTAGCTGCCCTGCAACAGCTTTGAGCTCACTGGGCTCTCAGAGGCACTAACACTGTTATAGCACGTGGTAGGAAGGTCCACCTGCAAAGTCACTAAAGACCAACTCGGGGCCAAGTTTGTGGCCTCTTCCTTTGAGGAAGCCCTGGAGCACCCTCCAGGTCAGCATCTCTCAGAGATATATCGCTATGGTGGTGTAGCATGATTACCAGGCAGTCGCTCTCCCGAGGCCCTGTGCACCCCGCAGCACACTGGTTGTGGCAGCAGTCGCTGGGCACCTTTCCCCGGCACCGGCCAGAGCATTGCTGGGCACAGATGACTTTTGTTACTGGAAGACACAATGAAAAAGGAAAAACCCATCAGGAATGAAGAATGTTTAAGCTGTATTTGCTGCAATGAGATCAGAAAATACGGAGAAAAGGTCTGGTGCAGGATCTGTGCTAGATTTTCCCCATGGGATGCATATTCTGTCCTCATGTAAGGCCAAAGCTTGGGAGGGGTTAGAGTTGGTGTGGGTGGTGGTGAGAAGGGGTTGTGTTCAACCCATAATTATCTTGGCTCTTGTGAGGTGCTAAGCACTCTGGTCCCAGCCAGCAAACCATGTCCCGCTTACAAAGAGCATCCAGGTCCCTGTGGCATCAATGCCTTAAACCGTGAAAAATTCCTCAGAGTCCCTGAATCATACAGCTCGGCAATAGAGTAGGATCTGATCCATTTTGTTGAGAAAATCCACTATTATTAGTGCTAGCTTTGGGAAAAATGACATCTCAAGAGAACTGCCAGGACTCTGTACTATAACAGGAAACCGTATATTGTTGGTGTGCGGTTAGGATCCCTTTGGTGCTGTAGAAGCATTTCTGAAACTTGCAGAGAGAGGGGACACCCACTCAGCAAAACCATGTCATACACATATTGTATTATTTTAGTTTAGGCTGCAATTTCTTGGCCAAATTTTATCTTCATTACTCAACTCCCACAGAGTTTGCACCAGTGCAGCAACCCGGAGGAAGAACTGGCCCCAATTCAGCTTTTTTTCAGGGAAGCAAAAACTGCCTGCAACGTTTTGTGGAGAATGCGGAAATCGTCTCCATTTGAATATCAAAGCATGTGTTTGAACCAGAGACCCAAAATGGGATTGTTTGTTCTCTATAATTACTGATCCACAGACCCTGGCAAGAGAAATCAGAGAAACCTGATGGCTAATCTGCTGCATGATAGCACCCTGAGCATTTCAGCTGTGCACTACAGTAACTGATACCAACTTCACAGTTGGCACAAATGAGTTACAATATCACCAGGAATTTCTGTAACTCCAAACCAGATGGTTGTTAATTAACAGAAAACTATTGTAAAATATAGCCTGCTACAGGGTATATAACAGTGATTTTTTTTAAAAATTACTGGTTTTTTTCCATTACACACTTTTATACCCAAACCTTATTTTCATTTTTCTTGTAGGCCTATAAGCGAGGTATTATATTTTCAAGGAAACAGATTATTTCCACAATAGGCATTAGCTTCTCTGATAGCAACTCCTCCATTCAACTAGAAACAGGGGAATAAAAAGGCACATTGTTCTACACAAACAGCATTTTGATCTAATTTTTTTCATAGGCATCAGCAGGGGAGTAAAATAACTCATCACTTTGATAGCTATTGACTAGAGCTTCCTGCTGGAAACATGCACCATGGCAAGCGTTTGTATTTCATACAGCACATCCCATGTTTGTGGAAGGAGCAAGATGTGTATGACCCCAAACTTTCCCACATATGGAAATGTGGGAAACATTTTCAGTTGGCCAGATTCTCAAATGCCTGGAGAGGAGAACCAGAGCCTGCAAACGTTTTCGCTTTATGCACTCCTTGTTGTCATCCTGAAGCCAGAAGGGTTTGTCAATTCGGGAAGCTTGCAGGGCTGAGACCTGAGGTTTCACAAGCCCCTGGGACAGCTGTGTGGTCTCAACTACAGGGACCAACTTGGGAACGGCTTTGTGTGCACGCTGTCCACCTCAAACTGCAGAGCTGACTGAAAAAACCTAAAGCTTATACTAAAGGAAGAGAGAAAATCTGTATGTTCCTTTTTCCTGAAGCTCTATAAGCCATACAGATTTGGCCTGATACTTGCAGGCAAGAAACTTACGTTTAGGTGATTATTTACAATGGAAACCCAGAGATAGGATGTTGATTTCACTTGTGTTACGCCTAGATCAGCAGTCTTTCCACTGAGCTTTACACAATACAAAGAATCAGAAACAGTGTATTTTCCCCACTTATTACAGAAAAAGAAAATGATGAAGCAGGGAAACAAATTGAGATGGTCTTCCTCCTTGGCCTTTACTTTAGAAAAAATAAAGCTTTGCAATATGTCAAGAACTTCTAAAGGAAGGTCTCTGTCGGCAAGGAAGCACCCTACCTGCAAAATTTTACAGTAAAGAACAGGCAGCCAAACTGAACAACCTCACAATGCCAAATAGCTCCTTTTACAAATATAAAAAAAGGCCATGCATTTTCTGAGAGCCTTCCAAAGGTTCTCTGAGCACAGTATGTAGTGTGATAACCCACACAAAGGTGACATCTTTTGTGTTTACAAAAGAAACCTACAGGGATTCCAAAAAGAGGAATTAAAGCCAGAAAAAAATCAGGTTGTGTTATTGCTTCTGATAGTAAAAATTAATCCAAGGTATCATTAGCTGGCCTGCAGAATGGCTTTACAGGAAATAGCTGGAAGTCAAACAATTCACCATGTGGCTACTGTGCTCTCTCTTATATGGTAAAATAGCTTAAAGAATAAATGTTCTCAAGTGCAGATGGGAGAAAGTTGTGGGCGACACACAAAAGCTTTCAGTGTGGGGTACAGCTACAGTCTTCTGCCTCTGGAGGAACAGCACATCTGCAGGGATATCCAGACCCAAGCCGAACAACCTCAAGGGTTCCCCTCCAGAAATGGAGCTCCTTGGGGAGAGCGGGCACAGCCATCCTCCCCATGACTGTGCTTCTGCAGAGAGAGAAGCAGGCCACGTCCATCCACAGTGTGCTTCAAGGAGCCCCAGCATAACGAGATGTAGAGAAGGACAAGTGTGAAACACTTCACTAATTTGCACTTGACAGGTTATTTTTCAGTAGACAGAACTTCAGTATGTCAGAGCATACAAAGTATTTCCTAATTAAACTGCAGGCTTACATGTCTGGCAGTTCTGCTCGCCAGGGCCCCAGCAATGGTCTTCTGTGCAGTTCGGATGGCATTTGGGACCTAAACCACAACAGTAGATTATTATTTTCTATAAACATGTACCACAACAACATCATGTGAGTCACAGAAAACAGACTTGAGCTTTCGTTCTCGATAAATCAGGGGAGGAAGCAGCTATATTCCAGTGCTCAAACATTTTGAGAGCTGGACCTTAAATCCTTATCCTTAGTTCATCTCTGGTTTCCTACGTGCAGTTCTCCACACCTTTGAGCAAGTGAGCACAATACCCAGCCAGTCTAGCTTACGAAAGAGGCGTATTTTTCCCAGGAACAGGAACCTCAGCTACTGCCCGGCTGGCCCTTCTGCTGGAGTTTGCATGCAATGGCAAGTCACCACTGGCTTGCAGCCGGGCATGTGCCAGCTGCTTGCTACAGGCCACATGTAAATCAATGGTACTGAACAAGGCGGTTCTAAAAGCAAAACAAACCCAACTGGATTTGCAGGCAACTGCAACTACTCCAACCACAAAGCAATTTGACTTGTCTGCAAAAGTACTCCTCGGTGTAAGACTACGCGGCAAATGGACAATCAGTGGTGGCAACATGGACAGACACCCTGCCTGACCTTGAAGGTTCATTGCCAAGCTCTTTCCCATCCCTCCCTCCCTCCTTGCTCTTTTCTTTTTCTTTCTTTTAATGACCAGCAAAGTCCCAGAGAAACAACTTATTTTAGATTACGGGATCATTATTAAAACCATAAATGGTTGTCTAAGAAGATTAATTTGGTATGCACTACATTTAAGAGGCATTTCCTACTAGAGTGATTCTTTCTGCTAACAACACATGATTCTCCTTCCCCCCACCTCTCATCAAATAGCTGAACAAATGCCAATACTTGTCCAAGAGTTGATTGATTTGGTGTGGGACCAAAGAACTGTTCTATTTTTTTTAAGTTGAAAAGTTAAAGGTTAACATTTCTGTGATGTTTCAAGCCAAAAATCCTGTGCTGACTTGTATAGTTCACAACTCCTTGATTACGCTAAGGCTGCACAGAAAAATATGTCAACACAAAAGTTGGCTATCAGCTCTCAGGCAATTATGCAACTGGAAGAAGATAAAGAAAATATGTTTTTCCGCCAATTGATAGTGCCAGAAACGAAATGTTCAGAAATGAAAATAAACTCTCCTATCCATGAAATTACTGGGGATTTTATAAGGGACTCTTAAGGCTGAAGGATTAGCTTGAGCCCACTCTAAGCATATGCTGCACAAACTTTTAAATATAAATTCATCTCTCTGCTAATGCATCAGATTTATCTCCCTGTTTAACATTAATTTTGCAAGGATAATCCATGCAGCCCAAACCACCAAAACATGTTGAGTTTTATGGCACTCAACATGGGTCTTAGCTCTAAAAAAGTTTCAAGTCCCACAGTAACTCCACAAAGATAGTCCTATGGGTTTTCTAGACCAGAGCCTTATATTGTAAACAGAAGATTGCTGGAAAGCAAATGAGTACATGTTAGTCTGAACTGTCTTTGAAGAATACATATGCAGGGTCCTGTCTGAAACCAGGAGAAGCTTTCCCAAGAACTTCACTGTGAGTTAAGGACCTAACCACCATGAAACATTACATCTTAGGTCAGCAGTGAAGAAATGAAAGGACTTTCCTTGGAACAGGGCTTGGAGGCTCTGCATGCAGGAGTTGGTGGACCTGAAAGCCACCACACAAAAAGATGGGATGTTCATTCTTCCCTCTGAAATGGGGGACTACATAGCATTTTTGGTAAGTTAATACTCACAAGAAGACAGGTTGCTTGCAAATTCAAGCACTGTGAGAGGCTTCTTGCTCGTGTCAATGATGTCATTCCAGAGAACAGTGTCCATGTTGCACAGTTTGGGGTTGTTGCTGATTTTAACACCTCCATTGAGAATTTCTGCCACAGAAGGAAAAAACCAGTAAGTGAAGCAAACTGCCTAAGCCTTCTATCTCTGATCTAGAGAAAGGGAAACAAAATACATAGTTGTTTGCCTCAGTCACGCTATGCTGACAGAAAAGGACAATGTGCACTCCTGATGGCACAACTAACAGCAGGCTCAGACTGATGGGTTCTGGATCCTTGTTTTTAAAGCAGGATCTAATGGCACATGACTTTGAAGGAGATCTTCAATCAGCTCTTGATACCAATAACCTAACAGCTGAAGTTTGCTTTACAGGTGCCTCCACTTCCAGCCCTTGTCTCACCTGACAGCCGTTTCATTGGCAGCTCTCGGAGTCCCTGGGTTTTATTCATGTGGTAATTGGATAAAACTGCCAGGGCATAAGAGTTGTCATACAGCACATTTCCTCGGATGATCTGGAGGTTTTCTAGGGGAATGACATCCACCATGTTAAGCGCGATGAGGACATAGCCTGCAACCTCCTGTATCGTCTGAAAGAACAACAGAAGAAACAAGGTGTTTAATCTATAGCACTTTCTACTCTTGACAGTCACTTTCCTCCTCCCATGTTCAATTTTAAGGAACAATAAACCACTTAGTCTCATTAGAAAAAATAAATACAAGAAGAAGAAGGGACTATTAGCAGGAAAACTTTGCTGTCTAAGCAGGTATAAACTGACTGACTGAGCGACTACCAGGGGGTCATTCCAAAGGTCCAGCTTACCCTTGTTCTGTCCTGGGGGCAAGTGAGGCTGCCTAGGGGATGCAGAACAGGGTATGCATGTATGGTATGGCAAGCAAGTGTGATGCTTCCCCTCAATGCCTGCCCAGCCTTTAACCACTGGCAGCACAGAGATGCCGTCCGATTGAGCCTTTTACACTCTTTTGTGCCTCTTCCCTTGCAGATCCACCTGTGCTCAGCAGAGAGGAAGATGAGGTACCTTCTCCCTCTTAATAAATAGTTATAGGACAAAAAGACAAGTGAGGCACTTTCCCTGGATGTAGGTTAATTCCTGCCTTGTATTGAGAAATGTGTGCATATCTATTTCCTGCAAGAATCACCATAAACAAAAACCCCTTGAGCTACCACTTAGGATATTATCCTATTCTATGAAGACTATGAGTTCTCAAGAGACCTGTTGTGTTCTTGGAAACATTGAGCACCGTGCTAAAGTTGTGCCTGGGAAAGAAAAATGGCAATACCATCATATTTGTAACCCATATGCCTGGACCATCTCTTTTCTGGTGTACTTGCTGTTTACTATAATGAGATGATTTTTTCCCTTTCTTTGTTCCCTGAGAAGAAAAGCTCACACAAAGACATTACTCTTCTCAACCCAGAGGACTAACCTGTTTATTCACACAAGAGCTCTTGATACTAGACATACACTTAACATGTCAAAAAAACTTCTTCCTTTACTGCCTCCTTCTTTGGAAGCCTCCTAATCTAATAACCAGTTATGCAAAAAGCAATGCATTTAAAATGCCTTCTTTAATATATATATGTGTGTGTGTATATATATATAAAACTGAAGGTGTGATGTTATTCCCACTAGTGGCAGCCTGGCAGCAGGGGAGCAGAGCCCTTGCCCAGTCTCTGCTGGTGGGGAACCCCAAAGTGCCCATGGCAGACAATGCTCCTCCCCATGCCATGGCTGCATTTTAACTTCAATCCCCTGCCTGTTCTCCTCTCAGCTTGCCATAATCACAGCTTGGAGGACAGGGTAAGGGCCTCCACACTTCAAAATCCACCATCAGTGGGTTGCCACTGACTTAGCACCTTGCTTTTCCCAACAACACCACAAAGCCTTTTGCCCTCTAAGAAGTGAGGCATTGGGTAAGGATGTAATCGTATCTATAAATAAGAAGAAACCCATTTGCATGGTAGCTAGAACAGCCTACTAGCTGCTTGAAGAGCTATTTCTCAAAGTACCTGATTTACTAGGGTTGAGCATATCCTGCAGCCTACAGGTATATCAAGACTGTGATCTGCAATTTCTCTGACATAGCTAGCTATGTTTTTGGATAACCACAGAATTTTATAGGTAGCTGACCCTTTGCACTTAAAAAAATGCAATCAGATTCCTTTAGCAGGAAGACCACATAGGCCAAGAACACCAACCTTCAGGAAAGAGAGGTCACGATTGTGCTCTACATATGTAATCTCCAGGTTGCTGAGTACCACCTCACAGTTGTTGTACATCCTCTGCAGGCTGGTGAAATGGTCTTCCACATGTCCCAGTTGGGTCAGCTTGTTATTTGTCCCTTGACAAACTGCAGAGGAAAGAAAAAAGCTCCATGAAGCAAAGCAAGAATAAATGCAGGGTTGAGACTTGTTGCCCATCAATTTTCACAAGCATCACAGGAAGTGAAGCATCACTAAAGATTCATAAGAAACAAGAACGTTATCCTGCATGACCCTAATGGCAACAGTGCTTGCAGGCACAGAGATGTACCGGAATTAAGAGCTGGAAAAACCCTCCATTACTTTCTGTTATACGGATTTTGTACATAAGTAGCACTACGTTTTCTGTGTCACAAACATAACTCGGTTCCTGAGGAGTGGGTATTGATACAGCGCCCTCAAACACTTATGGAAGTGGTGTGCTGCCAGGTACCACCAAAGGTGATTTTCAAGGGGACCCATTTACAGTATATTTTCAGGGGCATTGAGTTGCCTTGTAAGCTCAGTGGGAGTGAGGAGCTCCTGCAGGAGCCCTCAAGCTACAAGACCGGGTTTTAAGAGCAAACTGAACCTCCAGGCTCACACACCTCTTGCCATTCTGACATATTTGCTGTATGATGCAGAAAGATTTCAGAAAGATGTTCAGCTTTGGCACACAAATCCACCTAAGCCTGCTTTGCTGGTGGGGAAGGAAGCGGTGCCACACAGAGCACCACCAAGATTACAAACATGTACATTGGCATGATGGAAAAATTCTATTCCTCTGCTATACCAAACCTAAAGGAACTGACAGAAGTTATCACTGTTGCATTCAATTGCAATGAAAGAGCAAAAAGCAAATGCTTTAAAGAAAAAAACACCACACACAACCCCCAGAAACTCTGTACTCATCCAGTCATTCCCCGGGTTATCCCTACACAGCTGAAATTGAAACATCTCTAAGTTATGCCATCACAGAGGAACTGAGAACAATACAAAAGGCAACGTGGTAAAAACTTAACACCTTCCAGGTGAAAAGCTTTAACCCAACTTGGCTCTTCAGTGGGAGCAAAAGAAGGCTGTTACCTCATCGCCACTGTAATGCAACCCCGGCCTGAACATCATGGTTTTCCGTAACACACTGAAAGAATTGCATTCCTTTAACTTGGAGAAAATAATGAGTGAAACTATACTTTTGTAAAGCTGTAATTCCTAGAAGCACCAGTCACAAATGGGAACATCATTGAGTAGGGTGCTGTAAAGCAAATAAAGCTGAAAGTAAGTTTCAGAGCTAGTAACATAAGACAATACCTGTTGAAGATCCAAACAACTGATGTTTTATTAGTAGAGAAAATAACTTAATAAGCAGTGATACAAACTTCCTTATCAATCATCAAAACCATTCACTGAACATGTGTTATTTCTCAGTGCAGTCACCTCCATTAAAGAGCTACAGTGATAACAGATTAAATACTCTTCATCCATGTTTAAAGCAAGGCTATTCACTCACATTCCTCAGTTATTTCTCATTATACATCCAGATAAACATTATGGTGTTTGGGATCAGAGTGGCAACTGTTAGCAAATGGGGACATTTTAACAGGGGCTGTGATTACACCATCTAAGCTGATTGTTACTACATGAGCCTCAAGCGTAGAAATGACCCTTTTTACAATTGTCTTGAACTTCTGTAACAGGAGAACTTTCTAAGCAGGTTTTCAGTTTCAAACTTAACTCTTCCAATGTGCTGTAAAATCTGCGGTTGCCTCAAGTATGAAGACCAAAAGTTATCAGCCAGAGTCACAGAAGGGGTCTTATTCTGTGGGGTGGTCACATGTTGAAGGCAGAAAGTTAGAAATATTGTCATATGCTGGTCTGCCCTGGAAAACGCGTTGTTGTTGGGGACAGGGTAAAGAGGCTTTGAACTGATTAGAAAAGTCAAAGAGTCCTCCCAGAGGTCATTGTGAATTTTAAGCAATGTTACCCTTCAACTGAGGAAAAAGCCAGTAATAAAAGATTCCCAGATGGTTCAAAACCTCAGCTTGGATTCTCAGTTTAGGCATATCAAATCTGATCCCTGAAACGGTGATTTTGGGATGCACTCAAATACCGTGCAGGAGCAGGTAGAGTTTAGAGTGCTCCCAGGAACAAAGACGTGTAAGTCAGCCTGTTATGGTCTTCAGGGTTTACAAGTGACCTGATGCTCCCACTGCACCTCCAGTGTTAACAGCAAAGATCTGCCGTGCTGCTCAAGACAGGCCCTGTTCAGTAGCTTCAGTGTTTATGCCACATCTGAACCAAAGGAAGGGGGGACAGAGGAGCTTTCTCTCGCAGCATCCTCCTGTCCACCCCGTGCCCACGATCAATCCTCCATGGCTTGGCACTGGTGGGATCATGCAACAAAACAACCCAGCTCACTGAAACAAGACCTAAGAGAAATGACACACATCTGAATGTGCTTCCCTTGGGATCAGAGAAGCATTGGAGCTCTGAACTCGGGTCAACTGTCTCGAGAAACACAGTCCTTTTCACTGCTTACTAAGTCAAGGCTGATGCAGCAGGCAGAAGGCATGGTTACTCTTGCACTTATCCCTCTCCCTTTCCCATGTGACTGCTCAGTGAACCATGCCAAGGAGTTGATCCAAGCTACAAATAATACAGAACAATAAATAAATAAATGGACAGAGGGTATTTTTAGCTCAGGAAAACTCGCTGATTTGGTTCACCATGGTGCCCCACGAACCGCTGCGTTGGAAACAGCTCTGAGGACAGCAAGGAGGCAGGAGCAAATAGTCAAGAGAAAGAGCTTGCCAGCTTGTGAAACTGCAGAAGGAAACTAGACATAGCGAGCTCCATAGAAGCTTCAGGTTGGTCCTCCGGGACCTGCTTTCTTCTCCTGTTCTGTAAGTAGAGAGCACTTTGATGGCTCTATACCAAAGGTGTCTTATGCCACGTGCAAAAATACTTGTCCCCTCCATCAGGCTCATCATATTCTCCACGCAGCAAACAGCAGATGTTGATGGAATCTTAGCTAAGATACAGAAAGCAAAAGAGGGTTACTTCTGTTAAGATCTCAACAGTATATGGGCAATGTCAGTCAGACCACCCTATAGGACAACCCTCTGCACAATTTTTTATTTGATCAAAGGGATACAAGGCTAAAACCTTGTTTGCTGCAAAGAGATCTATGTACATCCAGAATGTGAATTTCATCACAGCAGTGTTTACTGAATGAGAACCTGGGTCATAAGCAATATATGCTGAGCAAATAAAACCCAAACCGAACAAGCTAAGCCCCTGAAGCAGTATTACTGAACTCAGGCAAAGGTGCTGAAAACATTTCCAATTAGAAAATTTGGAAAGAAAAGAACATGGCCTGCTTGCATCTGATGAATAATACCATTCCTGCAATTTCTTTGCTTATGAAAACTGTGTTCTGGAAAAGATACATGCTATAATTATCTGTATATAACACTACACTGTGAATGCCATTCTAGCCAGAGGCAAAAGCACAATGAGGTGCTCACCTCGCTCTGCAGAGTTTTAAGTGGGACGTGCATACTTGAGTGGATGGATTATATTATGATTTAACCTCCATTGAGCTTGATCTACTTGTCCTCCAAAGGACAGGTTTTGATGCCACATGAATTCATTATGTATTTTTGTTTCCGTGTGTAGCAAAGCCAGCAGCATCCAAGATCAGGAGTCAATGGTGGGTATGGATGCTCGCATGGTACCACTGGGAGCTCTGGGTAGTATGTACCACATGCGGACACTTAAACATGGTTGCAGCACATTTTACCTATAAAGGACAACAAAAAACCAGACAAGTTTCCTGATGAAAATATAGGGTGAGAATGTCCGTGACCAGGAGAAAAGCTGAGATCTGGAACTGAACTTCAGGGCAAAGGCTGATCCTTAAAAGACAAAAGCTTTGCTCTTATCTGTGAAGTTGTAATGTAGAGGCAACCCAATGTCTGCAGGGCAGTAGCTTGGGATTACCACCACTAAGCATTTTATTCAATTTACTTCCTAAATGTTGAAGTGAGGTTGATTCTGAATCAGTTACACCATGACCTTGACAGCCTAGAAAAAGTGCATATACTGTTGAAATGAGACCAAATGTCAGGTGCTATTTAAGTCATCAGCAATCAAAGAGCTGAAGAGAGGGGCACACTGCAGTGACAGGACACTGGGGAATGGATTTAAGCTGACAGGGGGACTTCAGATTAGATATTAGGAAGAAGCTCTTCCCTGTGAGGGTGCTGAGGCGCTGGCACAGGGTGCCCAGAGAGGCTGTGGCTGCCCCATCCCTGGCAGTGTTCAAGGCCAAGTTGGACACAGGGGCTTGGAGCAACCTGCTCTAGTGGAAGGTGTCCCTGCCTGTGGCAGGGGGTTGGAGCTGGATGAGCTTTAAGGTCCCTTCCAACCCAAACCAGTCTGGGATTCTATGTACTGACAGATGCAAACTCACTGAATTTTAGTGCTTATTTAAAATGCAGAATTGCTGCCCTGGATACTAAAATTCTCTCTGTCCACAGACATGCTGGCTCCTTTTCTTTGCCTCAAATGTGGCCTTAAAGGAGTATTTCTAGGTGATGCAAATGGCTTGACCCTCTGCAAACCTGTGCTCCTTGGCCTTTTTCTTGTGTGGCCAAAAGAAGAGTGAAACCAAAGCATTTCCTAAGTGGCATTTTCCACAAGTGATTGTAGGAAGACAGAAAACATTCATCCAGATGTAACACTAAGCAACCATATTCTCCAAAATCCATCGAAGCTCAGATTAAACAAAGTGGTCCCTGCAGCAATTGCCCTGATACAAGTGAAATCTGTTTTCATCTTTTCCCCAGAAAATCTCTGATTACTGAGGTCTCAATCCTGTCACGCATATTTGTCCCAGACTTGGGAAAAACCCTGGAGAATGCTTTGAAACCAAGTTATCACCAATCCCCAGATCATCAGCTGTTTCTGTCCATGCTTAGCCCGCATTAGTCTCCCAGCAGCTCTGACAGACACATCCAAATACTTACTTGCAAAGGCAATTTCAGAGCCATGCAAGTCCATTTCCATGCTTCATATGTCACTTATAACTCTATACGCCCTGGC